CCAGTCCCTGGGATTCACATGGTGGAAGAGAAGCAACTTCCACAGGCTGTCCTCTGACTTACACACACACACACACACACACACACACACACACACACACACACCATAAAGAAAGAAACGAATGGAAAAACTTAAGAACACGCTTTCTGTGGGAAGAATAAATGTTCTGTCTTGTAGCATAAAACTCATAGCCATCCTTAAAATGACTAATCCTGCATTTTATATATTCACCCCCAACTTGCCGTTACTATTTAATAACTATGGTTGGTATTTTCACTCTCACTGTATGAAGTTTTCAGAAAGTCTTTTTAGAAGTTGGAATGTTTGTACTCTTAAATGGTTGATTAAAATAAGCTTGGAAAGCACTTAAAGAAAAAAAAAAGACCAAGTAATTAAAGTTAACGTTCTCATACGAGGCCAATGTTTAGCCAGTCATACTTGCATACTGCTTGGTAATGGCTGCTATCTCTTCACCCGAGTCCCTCCATGCAACGCCCCTCCAAATAGCTATGACCTGCTCTTTGATGGTTTTAGTGGGGTGATACCCTGCTGTGATCTTTAATTGAACCTCGGTGTTGACATGATTTTCTGCCCCCCCCCCCCATCTCTCTTTGTCTCTCTCCATTTTCTCTGCAGGGATCTGGCGGCCTTCGACAAATCTCGCGACCTAGCTGTCCGCGCCTACCAGGAGCATAAAGCCAGTATGCATCCCGTGACGGCGATGCTGGTGGGGAAGGATTTGAAAGTGGATTAAGGACCTGATGGTTGCTGATTTTACATTTCCCTTGTTCTTTTTTTAAATTGAACCTATGAAGAAATACAAAATTTTAACTCTCATTGTAATTAAACATGTCATTTTTTTTTTAATTTTCTCATGATGTCACTAAAATTCTCTACCTTTTAAAAATAATGTGCTGTAGTCTTTGTGAACTTTTACTCTTTTGACTTACAAGGTTTAGTATTTCTTTAGAGGCAGGGTCTCACTGCATAGCTTAGGCCGACTTTGAACTTAACATTCCCTTTCTCACCTTTCCATGTGCTAGAATTACAGGTGTATGCTACCACACCCAATAGAAGTTTCAGATTTTTACATTAGGTTTTTTTTTTTTTCAGTGTAATTACAAAATATTTTGACACATTACTTAACTAATGTTTTATTTGTTTAAAGATTTATTTATTTATTATGTATACAGTGTTCTGCCTGCATGTATCCCTGCAGGCCAGAAGAGGGCACCAGACCTCATTACAGATGGTTGGGAGCCACCATGTGGTTGCTGGGACCTCTGGAAGAACAGCCAGTGCTCTTAACCTCTGAGCCATCTCTCCAGCCCCCAACTAATGTTTTATTAATGTTCTCTTGCCATACTGATTATTTTTATATTTGAATTTGCCAGCAGGCCAAAAATTCAGCATGATCATTGTTTTGCTTTTTAAAATGTGCATGTGTGAGTGCATGTGTCTCGAGTACAGATATGCAGGGGTGTACACATGCACAGAGGCCAGAGGACATCTCCACAGGCACTGTCCATGTTTATTTTTAGAGAGAGTCTCTCACTGGTAACTGGACAAGTAGGCTAGGCTCGCTGGCCAGCAAGCCCCAGAGTCAGCCCACCTTCGCCTCAGGAGCTCTGAGATGACAAGCATGTGACTGACTGGCTTTTTTAATGTGGGTTCTGGGATCAAACTTAGGTCTTTGAAAGGTAAACACTCTATCCACTGCGTTCTTTCCCCAGTCCAGAGTTCTGCTTTTTAAATAGCTTAAGCATGAACCCTTGGATTTGCTTGTCACCAGGGATAGACTCTCCTTCCAGAGTTGTGTGAGCCCTGGCGGGACCCTGTCCTCCCAGCCCTCGATCCATGCTGCTGGTCCAGCATGCTTGTCCTGGTCTTCTGTTCATCACAGGTCAGATGGCCACCCCGGACACCAATACCTCCCAGTATTCCCTCGCTCCATTCAGCCTCCTTCATCACCTCAGCAGCCAGTGGGATTCTTCACCCTCCCAGAGCAAGTGGCATGTGGAGACACATAATTGAAAATGATTGAATTTGAACCAAAGAAAAGGCAGGCCTAATGCAGCATCCTGTAATACCCAGTGGTGCCCCGGGGCATTTCCACACTCGGTTTGGGACTCTCTGGGGCATTAGGATTTTTCCGTCGCCAGGTACAGAACCCAAGTTGGTAAGAGCAGAGGAGTATTATTTAAGACTCACAGATAGGCAGACGGCAGAGCTATCGGTGCTCCTGGTTCAGGTGCTTCCCTTTCCCACCCTGCACTCTGGACCCCTCCCACTTCCATGTTAACGTGGAGAGACCGCCACAATCCCAGATTCTCCAGTTGAGCCCATTCCTGATCAAAGTCCAGCCAAGGGGAGGAGTGTTGTCTTAGAGTATGTGTGTCATCACTGGGTACCCCCTAAAAATGTGAAGATTAAAAACCCCCTAAAGATGGGGCGGGCATCAGAAGTCCCCGTCCAGTCCTGGAATCCAGAGACATCTTGCTCCCCTTCCCTTGGTGGATTACAGCGGTCCCGATCCCCAGCACGCAGCTCTCGCTTGTATGTCTTCCCTGGAACAGGCAGGGGGCGCCAAAGACACATCCCGCTACAGGTTTCCCTAGGACCAAGGACTGGCTCAAGTTCAGTTGTCTCTGTGTCGGAGCAAAATGCACACGATCACCAGAGGAAGTAAAAGAGAGGAAATTTCTAAACGATGCAAAAAACCAAACTGGTTATGCTAATACAGTCTGAGAAAGAATTCCACCCACCTAGCCTTAGGTGGTTTAAGAAAGGTCTCAGGGTTGGGGATTTAGCTCAGCACTAGAGCGCTCGCCTAGCAAGCTCAAGGCCCTGGGTTCGGTCCTCAGCCCTGGAAAAAAAAAGTCTCAAGAAAGACAGCAGCGTAGCAGTCATCCACCGAGTAAAGAAAACGGGGATATAGGGACAAAATGACAATTGGCTACATGATGTCTGGGGCTTGTGTGTAGAGTCCTCACGTGGCCGAGCGTGACATCACCAGAAACTGGTATCATCTTGGAATTCCTCAAAAGCTGGGCCCACCTGGGGTGTCAGCCAGGGCACCCAGTAGTTTGGATGACCTGAGGGGTAGTTGGGCATCTCCATCTTTATGGTTCTGTTCATCTCCGGACACCAAGCCCAGAAACATGCCTGCGTGGGAATGGACCTCGTTTTGTCTGCGGCACCCAGCACAGAGAGCTTGACACCTACCAGGTGTTCAGGAAGGACTTGGTGAATGAATGAATGAATGAATGAATGAATGAATGAATGAATGAATGAATGAATGGGGGCCGAATGAAGGTGGTTCACACCTGAGGGCCACAGCTTTCCCAGAAGTGTAGAAGAGGAGACCTGTGTCTGGGAGTTGGATGCAGGCTGAGGAGAGAGGAAGATGTGGGCAGTTCCCTTTGGGGAGGCATGAGTCAAAGGGTGGGGCTGTCTATCATCCCCATGACCACGGGACGTGTAGCAACAGTCCGCTGGGGTAAGCGGGTGACGGTCCAGCGTAAGGGCTTGGGGCGTGGGTTCCACCCCAAATACAGGCAGAGATGCGGGCTAAGCATCACCGTATGGACAACTAGGGCAGCTTCATAACCACTGGGGTCCAGGAGAAGAAAGAATCCAGAAGTCGGGTTCATGGGCAGAAATGAATTCAGGGTGTGTCCTGAAGGTTGGCGACTGGAACTGAAGAAGATAACATCTCTATCAAGCTGTTGTTGTCGAAAATGCAGGGCACGGTCGGGGTGTGGCTGTCTGATGAACACACTTCCATCAGACCCCGAGAGTGAGCCCCTGGATTCGGATATGGGTCTTGGCAGAAGTGGCTGTACCTGTTCTAAAGTGGAAACAGGCTTTCTGCTGGAATGATCAATTTCTCAGAACTGACGGACGACTAAAGCACACGCATTTCTTTGAATCCCCTTTCACTCCATCAGTGTCCTTCCCACGGGTGGGGGAGGGTTGGGTGGGAACAGGGGTTGGCAGTTATTGGCTGCGAAGAAGCTTAGGTGAATTGGGGATATCCAGGTGCCAAGATGAGGAATATTCCCAAAACAACTGAGGTCATGTGGAGCGTTAGAAGTCCAAGTCCCGGTGAGAGTAACCCCAAACACTTCTGTAGCATCCCCATCCAGCAGACTCTGACCCAACACGTGAGTTCATTCCGTCTTTCCAGCTGCCCATTGGGATAGGTCCTAGTGGTATCTCCGTTTTGTAGGCGAGAAAGCTGAAGCCCAGAGGAATCAAATAAATCACAGAGCCAGGATTTATTCCAGCTAGATGCTGCAAAGCACACCAGTCCACAGTTTGCCTTTGGATGAGGAAACAGACTGGTAATTCACTCACCCCAGGGCCATAAGCTGTTGGTCATACTCTAGACACACAACCTTGAGTTGTGACAATGATCTCTGGGCTTCTCAGCATTCTTCCGTGGAGTGGCAGGCAGCTTCAGAGGCACAAATCAGGGTCGGGGAGGCATTGCTCAACATGTGTTTGTAGAATGAGTTTGTAGAATAAATAATGAATGAGGATTGCCACACTCCGGGGTGTCACAATTGACCGAGGGGATGCGTTTTCCCAATTGAGTAATTCCCTAAAGGGGGAGGGGGTGGTGGGGTGGGACATGGTGTTTATGAGCAGCTTTCTAGAAAGAACCCAGAAAGGGAGAGAGAACTGGGGACCCTGATCAGGAGGGGTTACCAGCGGGGCTCAGACCTCCAGAGGAAGAGACCCTTGGTCTGTCTGTCTGCAAGGCTGCCTCAAGGGTGGACTCACCTACCCATACCTCTCTCCCCAGCTCCTAGTTTGGCTTCCAAAAAGGCCAAAGGAACACCAGGGCCGGCAATAAATATTTGTTCAAAGTGTGAATGAGTAAAGGCGAGGGAAGGGGTGTGTTTAGAAAATCCATTTTCCATCTCCCTGCCAACCACACCCAGGCCGGCAGGCACTCCCCTCCCCGGCAAAGGATAAAGGCTCTGCAGTCTGGGACGGTACGGTAGGCAGGTAGGGAAGGAGCCAGCGCTGGGTTCGCAGGGGCCTGTTGCTTAGAGGGACGGTCACGGTAACCGGGCCATGCCGAGGTACACGGTGCACGTGCGTGGGGAATGGCTGGCGGTGCCCTGCCAGGACGGGAGGCTCACGGTCGGCTGGCTGGGCCGCGAGGCGGTGCGGCGCTACATGAAGAACAAGCCCGACAACGGTGGCTTCGCCTCGGTGGATGAAGTGCGCTTCCTCGTGCGCCGCTGCAAGGGCCTGGGCCTGCTGGATAACGAGGACCTGCTGGAGGTGGCCTTGGAGGACAACGAGTTCGTGGAAGTGGGTGCGTGGCCCCGCAGGGGAACGGGACGGGCCGAATCCCCTTGCAATTACAGAATCCTTCCACCATGGCATAGACCTCAGTCGACCTAAGGCCCGCAGCAGAGGGGTGCTGAGCTTTCAGACTTAAAAGAAGTGACCGCCAGAGTAAAAGGTGGAAGCAGGCTAGAACTTAGGTCCCACGCCTACCTTCCTGCTTTTTGGCTTTCCTGTAAAAAGACGCTAAGGCCATGGGGGAAAAGCAGGAGGTCCCATTCCAGCAGCCATGGCCAGACCATGCAAGCTGAGTGTAGGGAGGGGCCGTTCCCGGGTCTGGCAGCGGCCCTAAGGTGGCACCCTGTGGTCTGCAAGTCCCCCCCCCCCTTCTTGTTTCAGTCATCGAAGGCGATATAATGTCTCCTGACTTCATTCCCTCACAGCCGGAAGGAGTTTTCCTGTATCCTTTGTGCATCTTCTTTGGTCAGCCCTGGGGGCGGCCGGGCCCGACTTGGTGGGGCTGGGGCTTTTGCACACTGCCAGTCTGTTCCTTTACCTGGCTGCAGATACAGCAAATATCGGGAGCCTGAAAAGGTAAATTGCAAGCCGCTTTTCTTTGTGTGTGTGGAGGGGGGCGGGGGGGGGATGAAGTCCTGTCATGTCTGGTGACATGGTAACTCTCCCCTTTAAAGAGGAGGGGGTGCGTACCTGAGCGAATACCACACCTAAGGACAGGTTCAGCCAGCTCAGAGTGGTACTACAGGGAACCTGGCCTCGATTTTCCTGGCTTTTCGTGTCCAGTCTCCTTGTAAGCCAGGAATGTTCTTCATTAGCACGTTGATGCCTCACAACAATAATTAAAATATCTTTGGCATCAGGCTGTGTCCAAGGCTAGCCCTCAGAAGGTCCCCCCGACTCACTGAGATTCACTCCTTTTGTGCAGTACATTGCCTTGGATGGGGACAGTCTGAGCACGGAGGATCTGGTCAACTTGGGGAAGGGACGTTACAAGATAAAGGTATGTGGGGAAGGGGGAAGAAGGGGCGGTTCCATTTCCACTGGACACGGAAGACTTTCATGTGCTCGTGCTTTTTCCTAGCTCACTTCAACTGCTGAGAAGAAAGTGCAGCAGTCGAGGGAAGTCATAGACAGCATCATAAAAGAAAAAACAGGTACCTCTTTCTCCGGCCGTCCTGACATTATTTTTACGGACACACGGGAGAATGAAACCTCCGTTGAGTCTAATCACGGGGGTGTCTGCTTATTTTGTGTTCCAGTTGTTTACGGCATCACCACAGGCTTTGGGAAATTTGCCAGAACGGTAATCCCCGTCCATAAGCTACAGTAAGTCTCAGGTGCATGCGCTCACAACCCATCTGCCCCAACTTTAAGAGTTCGCCTCCATGGAGGTCGTTCACGTTTGCCACATGGACATTCATTGACCACTTGCTTTAGACCAGTGGTTCTCAACCTTCCTAACTCTTTAACACAGTTCCTCATGTTGTGGTGACCCCCAACCATACAATTATTTCATTGCTACTCCATGACTGTAATTTTGCTACCGTTCTGAATCATAATATAAACATTGGATATGCAGGATGTCTGATATGCGACCCCCGAGTAGTCGCAACCCATACGTTGAGAACCACTGTTTCAGACCAAGCCTTGGGTAACAAATTCTCACACAACCCTGGAAGACAGCCAGGCTTCTCATGTATCTTGGTGAACAGTGTGAGGCTTGAGTTGACTTGTACCCAACTCATCACGAGAGAACAAGACCAGCTGTTTCCTTTCACTGCATGCGGCCGCCCATCTAAAATCTTACGGTTGTCCCCTTTATATTCCCAGCTGGAGGGAGCATGCTCACGCAAGGTGTCTAAGAGGGTTCTCATCTTTCTCTTTCAGGGAGCTCCAGGTCAACTTAGTTCGTTCCCATTCTTCAGGTAAATTGTTCCTAGTATTGGGTGCCTCCTAAATCACATTAGATCACATGATTGATTAGATAGTGCTACCAGCCACATCAGCTGATGTGTTCCAAGTGCATTCAAGGGCTGGGTATCGGGGACCCAGGAGTGTGAACAGACGGCATTAGACAAGACCAACCTTCTGCTGCAGCTCAGAAAACAGAATGGGCCTGGTGGAGGGATGGGCTTGAGATAGGAGCATGTATCCAATCCTATGAAGATAGGAGTGCATTTAGGGAAGAGAACAAGGCTAGCATTCAGGGCATGAGCTAGGTAGGATGAGCCCTGGGCCCAGCACACTGAAGAAGCCGTGTCAAGGCCTCCCTGCAGTATTCTAAAGGCGTCTGGGAAGATGAGGTCCACTGAAGGACTTTAAGGAAGGAATTGAGAAGGAGAACTTGGGCCTCCAGCTTGGTCTGGACAAGGCTTGGAGGAGCAAGACAGGCAATCGGCATCACTGTCCATCCAGAAAGCCAGGGGGAGACTGTCAGAAGTGGAGAAGGACCCAGGAGGTGGGGGCAGGCAGGAGGTGAGGGATTTGTTTTTGTTTTGTTTTTCTTCTTGAAGAAAATGACAATTCTGCTCTGTAGGTGTCGGGAAACCACTCAGCCCTGAGAGGTGCCGGATGCTCTTGGCTTTGAGGATCAATGTTCTAGCCAAAGGGTACAGCGGGATCTCCTTGGAGACCCTGAAACAAGTTATTGAAGTATTTAATGGTAAGGCCATGGGTCCTTAGTTTGACTTTTCGGAGAAGTTGGCCACACCCCCAAAAGCAGATTTGGATGACTAGGTGCCAAGGTTAAAAGGAAAATGATCAAGACGAGTGTAAAACAGGTTTGGCAGGGAGGAGAGCCAGCTGTCAGGTAGCAGGGATGGCAGCCCTAGTTATTTCCATAAATGTCAACCCATCTTGTGGTATCCTTCATCTAGCGTTTAAGATAAGTGTGAGCCCTGCCAGTATGCCAGTAAGTTCAGGCCTACACAGAGCTTTCTATTCAATGGTGCCCGTCTATGATCAGAGAAATTGCACCAAGTCATTCCAAGATACCCGGGAATCTGGACTCCTAGTGTTTCCCAGATGATGGACAAGTTGCACTTGCACACGGAAATCTAACTTTGTTAAAAGGCAGGTCAACGCGTGAAGAGGTTAACAATTGACTTAGCCATGAAGCCATTGTGGGATAGGACGTGATGCAGCACAACTCAGTCCTTAAAGGGGAGACCAGATTCGCAAGGCTTGGGAAGCCGTCCCTCCCCACAGCTCAGGATAAAACATCAGGTCACTGGGAATCCCAGGGATCCTTGGGGGAAAGGAACAGGAAAAGAAGTAAGGTCTCATGTCCTGCAGAGAAGACCAGACGCTTGAGTTGCTATGCAGAGGGCACAGGGGACTCATAAATGTGACACACTGACCAGGGAAGGTCACAGTCTACGGGCCATAGGGCCATCTGCACAGATCCATAGTGATCACAACACCCATCTGCAAGCTCTGCTCCACCATAAGCCTCAAACCCAAGACAGTAGAACTCCAGCTCTGAATGCAACCTATGCTCTGATGGATGCACAGCTAAGGCGTCCCTGGGTCCCTGCTGCTCTGAGAATCCCCCAGGTCAGCTACAGTTTGGAAGCTGGCCAATTGTTGGCACTGATGTGTCTAACTGATATTATTTAGCAACAGCTGTGGAAACAATCACCACCATCAGGGCTTTATTTTAGGAAACAGAAGCTTCCCTTTTTTTTGGGGGGGGGGTAACTCTTGTATTAACATGTGTATGCATAAGTGGTCATAGTGTATGAGGTGATAACTGAATGTTGAGAGAGAGAGAGAGAGAGAGAGAGAGAGAGAGAGAGAGAGAGAGAGAGAGAGAGAAAATTTTGCCTGCGAATTTATTGCCCTAAAGAACTGGGTTAATAATACTTTGGTGTGCCATGTCCTTCTAGAACAACCCATGGTTTTTGTTTGTTTGTTTGTTTGTTTGTTTGTTTTTGTTTGTTTGTTTTTCGAGACAGGGTTTCTCTGTGTAGCTTTGCGGCGCCTTTCCTAGAGCTCACTTGGTAGCCCAGGCTGGCCTCGAACTCACAGAGATCCGCCTGGCTCTGCCTCCGGAGTGCTGGGATTAAAGGCGTGCGCCACCACCGCCCGGCAAACCCATGGTTTTTAAAGTAAACACTTACAGTTTTTAAGCATTCTCCAACAGCTTTTAATGACTGCATATAATCTGATCACATGAAGGCCCCTTAATTCTGTATTTCAATTATTTCTAACTTTTTGCTCTTGTAAACCAGGACGTGATGAGCAACAGCTAGTTTGTAATTGTGTTTCTGAGATATTGGTAGAATCCCAAGAGGGGAGTCACGACAGCCTGAGCACGGGCTGTGTCCTTCCCTCTGGATGCCTGCCTGCCCCCATACACACATACACACATTTTCTCTCCCTCCTCCTCCTCCCCTCCCTCCCTCCCTCCCTCCCTCTCCCTCCCTCTCTCTCTCCCTTTCTCCCCCTCCCTCCCTCCCTCCCTCCCTCCCTCCCTTCTTACTTCCTTCTTCCCTCTTTCCTTCTTCCCTCTACACTCTTCTCTTTTTATAACAACTCAGCTGGTTCTTCTCTCTCTCTCTCTCTCTCTCTCTCTCTCTCTCTCTCTCTCTGTTTTTCAAGACAGAGTTTCTCTGTGTAGCCCTGGCTGTCCTGAAATTTGCTCTGTAGACCATGTTGGCCTCGAACTCAGAGATCTACCTGCATCACCACCGCCTGGCTCAACTGCTTCTCTTACACATTAATGGTGCCTAAGAAATGACCATCCTTGGCTATGTATGCCACAAAAGGACTCTAGACTCTGTTGGGAGTGAGGGTTGTCTTCACTGGCAAAGGAAAGAAAACCACAATGCTGTAAGCACTCTCGAGGTAACCAGTGCCTCCTCCTCTCGCAGCCTCCTGCCTGTCCTACGTTCCAGAGAAAGGAACTGTTGGTGCCAGTGGAGACCTTGCACCCCTCTCTCATCTTGCTCTGGGACTCATCGGAGAAGGGAAGATGTGGTCCCCAAAGAGTGGCTGGGCCGATGCTAAATACGTAAGCCTCACATAACAGCTTCATCCGCAGTGATTCTCCTCAGCTGGAGCCAGGAGACTCCCGTGTGTGGGATGCCACTCTGTCTTTATGGCAGATCAGTTATGGATGAGTCACCTCCAGCCTAGGGAACACACCAGGAAAGGAGATTGGCTTCCCTAGTCCCCTGCCAGCCCCCAAGATGTGTGGCTCTAGATGGGAACGCAGTCTTAATTTCAGGAATGTATTCCGCACTCATAAGACGGCCGGTGCCCACTGGGGAGGCACACTGGGTCACAATTGTATTGGGGAGCTCGTCTTACAGGTGAGAGTTCTGAAAGACAGAAGAGCTTGCTCTGTGGCCTCTAGAAAGCACAATCTGTACTCCTTGATGAGCTCACCAGAACAGTGTGTTTTACACAAAGCTTTTAATGTTTTCTTCATGAGCAACTCTCAACCGAGCAGCCCACCGCATCATTTAAAGTGTCCTCTATGAGCAGGCATGAGAGGTACCCGGACAGTAAGTTAAAGAGACAGAGGACCAAGGAGGAAGAAGAAACTAGCTCGCCCTTTGGGGGATCCGGGGACCAGGTCATCTTTCTTCCATGCAGCCTATCTTGGTTCTGTCTCTGTGGACAATGTTTCCTCAGATACCTTCACATGGCAGCCAGCCTGACCTGGGTCAACAGCAAATCCAAACACATCCTGGTTAAACATCTTGAAGATAAAGTTCAGACATGATGTGGCTTCAAGAGTGTTTTTTTCATATGATCCCCACAGTCCCTTTTACCCAAGGCTCTCCATGGCAGAAACTAGAGTTAGCCTGCAGCTCAAATGTACTCTGGGCTAAGCAGATCACTCAACACTTTGTTCTCCTTTTTTTAATTCTGAAAAGTCCTCTAGGAATCTACCCGCTCTGCTCCTCTGATCCTTTCCAGGTCACCCACACATATGCGGTTATGTGTTATTTCTTCCCTATATATGCTTGATAGCATTCAGCCTATGAGTGACCTGATTGCCCTGAGCTTGACGGTGTCTACTGTTCACACCCTCAGCCCAGAACAACACCCTGCAGTAAGAAGTACTCAGGCCCCCAGAAATAGACAGAGTTGAGTGACATTGGTCTGTCTTTCTCCTACTTTAACTCCATCCCCCTACCAGGAGAACCTCAATGTAGCAGCATCTTGTACTTTTGTTATTTGAGAGAAAACATATTCTGTCCCTTTCCTCTTGGGATTCTAGCTCTACCTTGTTGAGGGGATTCCATAATCTCCTCTTCATTAGTGTGCACACATTTGCTCCCAAGTCCCGCTCTGAGGTTCTGTCGATGACAGAGGTTGCAGAAACAAGGGCAGAGGACTGTTTGGGGGTCCCTCTTTGGATGCAGAAGCATGTATATAGACAGTCAGCCCAGAGCCCAGCCTTAACTGAGAGCAGGTATATCTGGGTGAGTCTCAAAGCTTGACGCCCAGCACAGAAGAACTTGAAAGCAAAATGTATTCTGTAGGCAGCCAAGTTGCCTTGGTTCAAAAGTCCACAAGTTATTTAAAAACTAAGCCTGATTTCCAACTAAATAGACATAGACGCTGCCCTCAAGAATCTGGCCAGAACCAGTTTATGTAGGCATAGTCTTTTATAAGACAAACTTTGGAACTGAAAGTACTTCACTGGGCTCCATATGAAATAAAAAAAATTAAGCTGATATTTCAAATAATAACCGAGTTCATGCTTTTAATCATTCAACAGGTCCTAGAAGCCCATGGGTTGAAACCCATTGTTCTGAAACCGAAAGAGGTAAGGAGGTCAAGAAAAACGTGTTTGTGTTAACAAATCACATATGCCCTGTCTCATCCTCAATGCCAGCCTCAGTGGCTCCTTGACACAAAGACGACCGATGTGTTGATTCATAGCTGCTCCCTGGAGAGAGGGCTCCTCCGTGAATATTTAAGATGAGTCACGGCACAAGTCCCTGAGGGTTCTCTAAGAACATAAATTTCAAACCCAGTGTTTAAGGAGCTCGATCAGATCTGCTCAGTCAGCCCCTGAAGATGCTCTCAGCCCCAGCTTTGGACCAGGATAGTCTGCAGATGTCTTGTCTCTGTCGTGGTGAGAAAGTTAATAAACAACACAACCCAGAGGTCTGTCGATGCTGCTCGGATTCTTCACTACTGGGTCACAGGGCTGCCTTGACAGGGGCACAGCCATCAGGCACCCTTGGGCCAGCGCTGTGCTAATGGTTCCAGATGTGCTGCGGATCTGCGTGACTGGCCCACCCTTGTGAAAGCACACCCACGACACGGAGCTCCACTGACTGGCCGGTGTCTCTCCTGCCGAAGCAGAAGATACCAGACCTGCTGGCCTGTGGGTCCCTTGCGGTGAACACACTAAGAAACTTCTCTTCCTTCCCCCACAGGGCCTGGCACTCATTAATGGGACACAGATGATCACTTCCCTGGGCTGTGAAGCTGTGGAGCGGGCCATCGCCATTGCCAGGCAGGCTGACATCGTGGCTGCCTTAACCCTTGAGGTGCTGAAGGGCACCACCAAAGCCTTCGATACTGGTCAGCAGGTTCTGTTTGGTTACTCATTCAACCGGGGCGACTTGGTTGACTGGTTTAGGCTCAGAGGCGGAGGGCGTGGGTGCCAGGGAAGGGTGAGAAGCCCCACATGTCCCCTAGTAGACCCAGGACGGCACAGCTTCACTGAGTCCTGTAGCAATTCCATTCTCAAGACAGACACTGGCCTGGAGAGCCAAAGCAATCTGTTCCAGGTCACCCGGTAATCTGGGTATGCCAAACTAGGCTTTGCTTTAAGAGTCAGTTTGTAAGACTCGAAACTCTTAAAAAAGGGGTTAGGGAGAGCGCAGTAGGTGAAGATCTTGTTTTGCAAGTCCAAGGACCTGACTTTTTAAAAATTGGACGTGGTGGTGTGTACTTGTCATCCTAGAGCTCGGGAGATGGAGACAGCAGATCCCTAGGGCTCACTGGCCGGCCTAGCTTACTTGATGAGTTTCAGGCCAGTCAGGGACTCTGTCTCAAAGTGAAAACTTACGGGGAAGGAGAAGGTGGACAGTGCCTAAGGAATAGCACCCACACTTGTTCTCTGGCTTCCATACATACATTCATATACACTCGGCATTCATGTGCTCATGCATGTATAGACAGACAGAAACACACACATACATACAGAGAGAGAAAGAGAGAGAGAGAGAGAGAGAGAGAGAGAGAGAGAGAGAGAGAGAGAGAGAGAGAGATTGCGATTGCCCTGATAAGAAAATTGGGAAGGCAAAATGATCTAAGTATTTGTATCTTCTCTAGAAATTAATGAAGGTCAAGGGCTCCATGCTAATAATAAGTAAAGCAGAAAATGTCCAAAAATGACTCGGTCAAATTAAGCCACTATACATGCTCTCCGTTGCCTTCAGCCTAGTACCTTTGAGGGTGGGCCTGGAGTTAAGTTTCTAAGTGTATTCTGCAAACAGTGTGGACTCCAACACGTGCAACAGAGACAACCAAGTAAAGGAAAATTTAACCTTTGGGTTGAAGCATTTAATTTGGCATGATGGGTGAGAACCCCCAGGACTTTAGGGGACTCTGCCAGCACCGTGGATGGTCCCGCCCCCTCTGTGGTTCGTTCTAATATCTGAATTGCTCAGACTTTTTTTTTTTTTTTTTTTTTTTTTTTTTTGCTTCCTTCAACTCTAGACATTCATGCTGTCCGTCCTCACCGAGGGCAAATTGAAGTTGCTTTTCGGTTCCGGTCACTCTTGGACTCGGACCACCACCCATCAGAAATTGCAGGTCTGGACAACGTTTGGTTGGAGGGGGCTCGTTGGTGTTGTGTGCGCTGGGGAGACCAGTAATGTGTCGTCTGTTTTCTTCCCCGCCGCCCCTCCCCCCACCCCTCCCCCCTCCCCCCTCCTTACACAGAAAGCCACAGGTTCTGTGACCGTGTCCAAGACGCGTACACCTTACGCTGCTGTCCACAGGTAAAGTCAAGAGACAGGAGACCAGCAAAAGCTCTCGCCACGAATTCTGAGGGAAAACAATAGAAAAAGAGGAAGGTTTTAGAAAACCATGTCGTGGTGGAATGTAATCCAAATCTCTCTACTGCTACTGTTAAAAATAGGGTCTTTTATATTTCCATTTCTCCCGTCTAATCAACTTCTTACTGGGTCGGCTGAACCTCCCATATACTTTTTTTTTTTTTTTTTTCCGAGACAGGGTTTCTCTGTGTAACTTTGGTGGCTTTCCTGGAACTCACTCTGTAGCCCAGGCTGGCCTGAAACTCACAGAGATCCTCCTGCCTCTGCCTCCCGCGTGCTGGGATTAAAGGCATGCGCCACCACTGCCCAGCAACCTCCCATATCTTGATCTCCTGTGTTGATGTACCACAACAGCTAAGTAGCATTGAAGAGTCTCACTGGTTCTTTCTGTAGGGAAAAACTGCAGCCAGCCAATCAGGGCTGTTCACAGGCAAGTGTCAGTCTTTCAGAATTCAAGTGCCTATGTGGCATGCTTTATCTTCATCTTATGATAAAATATGAACAATCAAAAAATGAATCTCTGACACAGCTTTCAATAAGAAATGTGTGCAGCTTTTTTTTTTTTTTTTTTTACATAATCTGACTGATGAGCAATTATGATCATCTCAAGAAACAATTTGTCAGTCATGTTCTGGTAGAGAGAATAAAAAAGGTGTTTTCCCTAGAATAATTACCCTCACTTACTGTGACTCAACACGTCCTACTTGACTAGTTTATTAAGTAATAGTTCAGAAACTTCTATGGAAAAGAATTGCCAGATTAACTACACCGTAGGAGTAAGTCCTGATTTAAGGGTCCCTGCTCCTCTAAGAATGATGACTGGCTCCAGATGATGGGCTCCGTTATCGGTGTCTTCCAAATACTGATTCACTGAATTTTCCCAACTGTGAAATTCAGGACCTGACGATCAGGCTTCGGTACCCTCCTTGCCCAAGACCATAGATCTTTATCTCCTAGACTTCTGGGAGAAGCCAGGAAGTACATCTTGGCTGTCCTGGGGCAAGGTGCAGGGTGGCTGCTTTCCTTATGAGCACTTTTTGTTGTTGTTTGGTCTTTTTTTTTTTTTTTCTTTTTTCAAGAAAGGGTTTCTCTGTGTAGTTTTGGTGCCTGTCCTAGAATCCACGCTATAGCCCAGGCTGGCCTCGAACTCACAAAGATCCGCCTGGCCCTGCCTCCCGAGTGCTGGGATTAAAGACGTGCGCCGCCGCCGCCACCACCCGGCATGAGCATCTTTAGTGTGATGCTTTATGATTCATGACATCAGGCCCTTGATGGCTACCGTCTGGGTGATCTCTGTGAGTCACGTCCAAGACACACCTATAGTATCTTATTTACTTCTTATGAATGGAAAGGAGGCTCCCACCGTCTACTTCCCAAGTCTCTGTTTCAACCAGAAACCTAACTTACCTATATCCTACCACTGGAAACGAAATTCTTTGTGACCAGGGCTGGCACTTTTTCCTATACCACAACGTTTTGCATATTAGTCTAATTATTTTTATATTTATTTTATGTATTATCTTAATGTGCTCTAATTTGTTTTGCTGAAAACTTACCAGTTGTCTTCATATCCTAAAGGAGCCAATTATCATTTTTGTGATCATAACTGCAAAGCAGTTACAAAGAAAAGCCTGAAGATGCCATCTTCCAAGAATATTGGCTTTTTTTTTCCCCCGAGACAGGGTTTCTCTGTGTAGCTTTGCACCCTTCCTGGAACTGGCTTTGTAGCCCAGGCCGACCTCGAACTCACAGAGATCCTCCTGCCTCTGCCTCCCAAGTGCTGGGATTAAAGGTGTGTGCCACCACCGCCCAGCTGGAATATTGGCATCCTCACTGGGATATTAATTATAGGCCTTATTTTTTTTTATTGTGCTTTAGGTCCACGGTGTAGTGAATGACACCATAGCGTTTGTGAAGGACATCATCACTACAGAGCTCAACAGTGCCACAGACAACCCTGTATCTTTTGCATGTTCTACGCATGTGCTGTTTTCTCTAGCTGGCTGTGTGAGGCTCTGTGTCGAATGACCCCATCTCACAGGTAGATGAGTAAGTCCCTGAGGCCGAGTACTCAGTGGCTCCTTCCAGGTCAGAGTCGGTAAGTGGCAGAAGCAGACATGTGAACCTACTCTTAGGTTTTGAGTTTAGCATGCTGCGCTTTTAAAATTGGCCCATAAAAGATTAAGGCAGCGCCTGCAGCCTTGGTGGATGTGTTTCACCGAGGCACTGATTGAAAACCCGCTGCTGAGGTTGTTGCGGATCTGATCAGAGCCTTCTGGGCTGGCCTTCCCTTCCACAGCCTGGTTCTAGTGATGCAGGGTGCTTATTTCCGGTGATGTAAGACATCCCCATCCCCAGGCTTCTTTCTGGCGTGGGCTTGACTCGGGCCAGAGTATCTGTATCCGTACACACAGTAAGAATGCTTTCGTTCCTTGTGGAGGGCGCTTTTCCTCCCTTAACGGGATCCCTTTCCCCGAGAGAATCTGTTTTCCTTCTTTGAAGCTGAGATAATTAGTCAGGGTCCAGTCTTCACAGAGGCGTCGCTGCCTTTGAAAACAGGCAGTCCTCTTAAGAACTCTTTCCTCCCGTTCCACGGCTGCCTCCGTTCTCCATACGGGAGAAATGGCTGAGGGCGTCTCACAGCCCTGGTGAACAGATGGTGGGCTACCCCAACAGATGGTGGGCTACCCCACATCTGGGGGAGGCTTCTCACCCGAGGTTTGAGTGTGCTTTTTCTGTAAGCCTGCCTTAAGATTTCATTTTATGTTTTCTGAGATCACCTCATGGTGAGTTCAAACCGGCAGTTGATAATCTTTGGGATTATTAATCGCTCACTCATCCCAGAAGGAACAGTGGTTCTCACGCCTGCTATGTGGCCTGATCTCATGGGTTTATTCTTCAGTGGTGCAGGGGCAATTCTTTTTTTTCTTTTTTCTTTTTTTTCTTTTTTTTTTTTTTCGAGACAGGGTTTCTCTGTGTAGCTTTGCGCCTTTCCTGGAACTCACTTGGTAGCCCAGGCTGGCCTCGAACTCACAGAGATCCGCCTGGCTCTGCCTCCTGAGTACTGGGATTAAAGGTGTGCACCACCATCGCCCGGCTGAGGGGCAATTCTATACTAGCACAGTTAGACCTTTAAGGGTAACTCAAGAGTTAAAATGGAAAGGATTAGCATGAGTTTACTGGACATGGATGACATTTTTCTATTTAATTTTCCCCCAGCTGTAATGTTAGCCATAAGTTCTCTACAAAAGACTCTTGATTGTGGATGAATTTTCAGATAGTTGAGAGCTCCTCTAGTACTGATGTTCCCTGAGGGAACAGGTTTCTCCATGTTGTACTGCAGGCAAAATGCCACCTTGTTAGGGAGGGAAGTCACAAGTTGCTGGAATGCTAATGACCAACCAAGTTGGGAAACAAGAGAATAATACAACATGCTTTTTTTTTTTTTTTTTTTTTTAAATTAGAGCAGCAGTCGATGCAGGGATGCAGAGGACAGAGAGAAGACTGTGTCTGTGTGGGGGATTCCCATCGCAAAATCTTTGTGTGCTCAAGTCTCTAATCTACCGTGGATGGTGTACACACTTCTTCCTGTATACGTTTAAGTCCTCTCTAGATTACCCATGACACTTAATACAACGTAAACACTACATAAGTAGTTGTTTTATTGTATTATTTAGGGAATAATGACAAGAAAATATCTGCACACACTCAGTCTAGACAATTTTTTCTTCCGAATATTGTCATTCGGAGGTTGGCTCATGCCACAGATGCAAACTCTGATAATGAATAGCTAAATAGATTGTTTATAAAGCCCAGAGGGAAAACATGAGCTTTGGGAACCAGGATGAAGGGTATTTTATTAAATTTGCCCTTGTGCCTGTGGGCTTAAGCAAAGTGTGTGATAGACTGGAACTATCCCTGGGGTAGTCACAGGAGTCCGGGAGTCCAAAGTTCCCTCCCGCTGAAGTAGGTCTGTACGGCCTGTTGACTCCTGAACACTCACACAGGTCTCAGAGGACAGAGTGGGAAAAAACAGTCCCAGCGTTGATTATTCCAGATGTTTTGATGTGTGCTCTGTCAGCCAAATTGTCTATTCAACAGCTTCTTTTATGGAGCATGGGTCCACAGCTCCACAGAGGAAACAGAATTTGGTTTCAAACCAGTGGTTGCTGTTTTAGGTTTTGACTGCAAGTGTTAAATTGGCAGATTAGAAAAGTTATGGGAGTCAACATCACTGATCTCAAGGGAAAACATCTCATGCCCCATGCTTTTGGGCTCCAATTACCAGCACACAATTTACCTTCAGTGTGTGTGTGTGTGTGTGTGTGTGTGTGTGTGTGTGTGTGTGATGTGTTGTGTATGTATGTATATGTGCATGTGTCTCTGTGTGTGTCTGTGTATGTGGTATGTGTGTGTTGTTTGTGTGTGTCTGTGTATCTGTGTATATAATGTGTATGTGTGTGTGTGTGTTCCTGTCAACAACTGCTCATAGGAAAACTTGTCTTTTCCTATATCTGTATGATGGCTGTCACTTCACTACTAAAAACAAGTGGATGGGGGTAGGAGTTACCTTTGAAGTGGCCAACAATGTTATGTTTAAGCCTTAACCCGTTTTGAAAGATGGTTTTTGCCAGTCGAGGAGAGACAATTTCAGGAGGAAACTTCCATGGTGAATACCCAGCCAAAGTAAGCTTTCTGAGTGTGCTCCTGACCCTGAAGTACATCCCAATGCAGGCCAGCTGAACTGAGGTGTTCTTTTAGGCCCTGGACTATTTGGCCATTGGCATCCATGAACTTGCGGCCATCAGTGAAAGAAGAATCGAAAGGCTGTGTAACCCCTCCCTCAGCGAGCTGCCTGCCTTCCTGGTGGCTGAAGGAGGTCTGAACTCGGGATTCATGATAGCCCACTGCACGGCAGCAGCCCTGGGTAAGGACACTACCGTTGGTCAGAACGTAAGCCGCCCCTGGGCTTCCCAGGTCCCCTGAAAGTGGCAGCATTTGCCTTGGCATGAGCTTGGATGTTGCTCCACCTCCTTGGACCTCCTGCCTCTCACGTTTAGCACAGCAAGCAGGTTGAATCTCCACATTTCCTTAGAGAAAATAAAACCTAAACAAGGGAATGCTGGAGGGTAATAACGCAACCATGGGGCATAAATGGAAAATTGCCCAGAGAAAGCAATCCTGACATTGCATTTGAACTTCATCTATGTAGCTTTGCCCCCCCCAAAGACTATCAGAGGGGAAAAAAAGACAGAGAGGATTATAGTTGATGGCAAAACTTGAGCCAGACCGAATGCTTAAACTCTGTAGATCTTCTATTAGATCGACTACCCACTAAAAGATTAAGATGCTCTCAAAACATATAAAAATACTTCCAGGAAGCAATATGCCTCCTGGAGACTAAGCTTCCGGGAAGCCAGTTTCTGATTTGAGATTGCAAGGAGCAGATAACTAAGGCACCAGAACAATGCCTGCCACAGAGTTGGTGCCAGCGGCCTTGCGTTTTTCCCCTCACTTAACCGGAACACTACCAGGAGGGAGCGAGGTCCTGCTCTCTTCTTCATTGGCCAGGTGAGTAATTAGAGATTCCAGAAGCTGAGTGGCTTTTCCAATGTCGCACAGTAGTTGGATACAGGGCAGAACTCAAGTACAGCCATACTGGTACCCAGCTTCGTGCACTCGCTGCCTTGATCTCTTTTTATCACCACCACCACCCCCACCCCCACCTCCACCACCCACCATCATCATCATTTAAGCACTTTAGTAACAGGTACTTTCAGTTGGTTGACTTAAATCAATGGTAAGCTTGTTACAAATTAAAAATGAAATAAAAAAAAAAACTCAACCAGATTATGAAACAGCTTAAAAATCTTCAATGGCAGCTGGGTGGCAATGGTGCATGCCTTTAATCCCAGCACTTGGGAGGCAGAGCCAGATGGATCTCTGTGAATTCAAGTCCAGCTTAGTCTACAGAGTGAGTTCCAGGACAGGCACCAAAACTACACAAAGAAACCAGATAGATAGAGGTAATAAATAAGTAAATAAGTAAATAAGCAACAAAACCTTTTTGTCATTATCCAAAAGAGACAACCTTAGGTAAAAGTATTTATTCTAACCACACGCTTTGTAGACAATACAGATAGCTCCATCTTATGTGGCCAAGTGACAAAAGACAAGTCCTTAGGGTCTTCAGCTGCCATCTTTGTATTTCCTGCTGCTGGAATGCCATGCCCTGTGTCCCTGATTGGATGACTAAATGCTTGATGGAATGGCCGATACACTGCCATTTACTCAGGTCCGCCCTGCTCAGCATAAGCAGATGAGTCCTCCGTGGGTGGATCGCCTGCTTGCATCTTGTGGTTTAAGATTCTCTGGGTATTTGCATTGTGATTGAAGTTGCAACACTTTGAGGTGGCTACCGACCTTGGGTCTTATCTCCTTGGTTCTCATTTCCCTCGCCATTACTGTCATCTCTAGGCTGTCTTCCAGGATGAGGGATCCCATGGCATCATGGCCTGTAACCCCAAACACAGCCTGCCTCACTGGTCTGTCTTGCTGTCTCTCTCTCCGGCTGTCAGCAGCCTCTATCTAGTCTCCCTGCACAAGAGGGTTAGAATAGGGTGGTCCCAGCATGTGGAAAGTGGGGAACCTCTGTCTAAAATAGCGTGGGCGTTGTTGGGCCTGGCCTTCTGATCCCTCGGTCTTTCCTAACTCTCATAATTCTGGTAACACTGATGGTAACTGCATGGAGGACCTCTACCACATAAAGACGGTCTACAACGGTTGTAGTAGGCTATGTCTTTACTGCCTTGGGCTTGAATTCCACCAGGGCCTGCAACCTTTACTCTCTCCATACATCTTTCTTGGTATCATTCCTCTCAATCAAACCATACCCATTCCTTACAATGAAACCGCTTTACAGTTCTGAAAACCTTCCTTCCCAGGCACATGCTGTGGGTACGAGGCTGCCTGGGGTCCTGGTCTACATGCTGTTGGTTGCTGGGATGATGGCTGGGATGCACTGTGGTAGCTGTGGCTCCTCCAAGGGTGGGATTGTCACTAGGCTGCTCAGGATTGTCACTGGGGTTGCTCAGGATTCTCAGGAGTCCACTCTCTCTGTTCCTGCTGCTGGTCCATACCAAGCATCTTGGGTTCATCAGTACATAATCTTAAAATAGAGTAGCCAGATTCAACAACAACCAAAAATGTAGGATACCCAGTTCTATTTGGATTACTTGGGATCTACTTGTGCTTAAAACAAAACAAAACAAAAACAACCAAACACTGGTTTTTAATCCCAAAATCCCAATTCAGCTGAGCATCCTGTATTTTCTTTAACAGTCCTACCTCAGAGGGCTAGGTAACATGATGGTTAATTGAAAGCATCCAGTGGCATCTAAACCCCAGATCTGCCATTTATAATCAGTGTGGTGTCAGGCCTCTTTATCTTGGTGATAATTCCTCAGCCCTCTGCGGTGTAGAGTATGTGATGATAACTGTACCTTAAATCGGGCTGTCTTGAGTATTAAATGGACTAACTATACATATGAGGTCTTGGGCTCTGCTTAGCCTCAGGAGCACTAACTAAACAGTAATTTCTATTTAATAAGAGTCCCTGGTTTGGTTTTTTGGAGACAGGGTTTCTCTGTAGCTTTGGAGCCTGTCCTGGATCTCACTCTGTAGACCAGGCTGGCCTTGAACTCACAGAGATCCGCCTGCGTCTGCCTCCCGAGTGCTGGGATTAAAGGCCTGTGCCATGACTGCCCGGCGAGTCCCTGTTTTTGGAGACAGCCCTAGCTAGCAGAGAACTCAGAGGTAGACCAGGCTGATCTGGATCTTTTAAGAGATTCATCTGCCTCTGACTTCCCAGTGCTGGACTCAAAGGCATGGGACACAATAAGATATTCTGAAGCTCTTCCCGGCTCATGCCTCTCACTCAAACTCAATACAAGCCACTTAGCGAGAACTACCGAGTTCACTGTCTTCTCTGGCCTGGTATTGTCTACTTGCTCACTTCGTGGTTTCTAAAGCACATCCTAACACAGAGACTTCGCACTTTATGGAGGTCGTGGGACAACAGGGCTTGAGTTCTAGACAAGACTATGGGCCTTGGGGAGACTGGCTTGAAGGAGTTCATCCTCATGAGCTGCCTGCTGAAAATGGACTTTCTTATCTAATTCAGTCATTCGTTTACCTTTTGGGTACTTGGAAGTCTGTACTTCCTACAAAGGTTCTGGTCAACACAGTCCTCGTTTCATACGGTACCAGGGGACAATTTTGAGTGACAGAACCTGAGAGATCTTGCACAAACCAGGACAAAGCTGGTCCCCCTAGTTTCAACCTGGATCCCCGAGGGGTGGGATTCCTTCTATCAGTGGTTCTCAACCTTCCAAATGCTGCAACCTTTTAATACAGTTCTTCATGTTGCGGTGACCCCCCCCAACCATAAAATTATCTTCATTGCTACTTCATAGCTGTAACTTTGTTACTTTTATGACTCATAATGTAAACAGCTGTGTTTTCTGAAGGTGTTAGCCAACCCCTGTGAAAGGGTTGTTTGAGCCCAGGGGTCACGACCCACAGGTTGAGAGCCAGTGTCTTACATCCTCGAAAAGAGAAACTGTTTTCTAGATCAGTGGAAGAGGAGAAAAGACTTTGAGTTTGACCTTTCCTAACATCCAGAACTGAGAACAAGGTTTGGGTCTCTGCTCCTTAAGGTATAGTCTTCAGTACGGCATATGAAGGATGCCGTACGGCAGCAATATGGCATCACGTGGGAGTTTATTAAAGTAATGGGAACTCAGAGCCTATCCCAAACTCAGTATCTGCACTGTAGCAAGATTACTGACTAATGTGGTTTGAGAGACCCCAGTGTAGATGCCCCTCACTTCCTAGACATCACTGGTTATCTCGAAGCCCTTGTTCAAGCCCCAAACACCTACTTGCATGGTCTTGGAACCGACTGAGCTCTTCAGTGTTGCCCAAGATCTGCAGACCCAGCATCGGTTCTCAGTGCCATCCCTAAATGCTAATCTGGCTTTTCTTCCAACGTAAGCAAATCGCTCCTGAGTAGCTAGACTCATTCATCCATCATGCTCCCACCCCACCCCATCCCCACCCATCTCGAGGGCATGCTAAATGCTTCTAGTATTTTTGGCATGGTTTTGTTATATGAGCCTGCCCACATTCTCATCTCCTCCTTATCTCCTAACTCACCAGGATCGTAGGACCCTTCCCACTTTGGGAGAACACTGACCCGTGTGTGGCTTTCCACTGTGGCTGTGCGCCATCTGGTCAAGGGCCCCTGGAGAGGTCCTTCCATGCTGTGGAGATGTTGAGGGGAGCTGTGTATTACTTGGGCAGCATTTCTTTTAGGGATTTGCTACTTCACTTGCACTGGTCTCTTGCAGTTTCTGAGAACAAGGCTCTCTGTCATCCTTCATCTGTGGACTCACTCTCGACCAGCGCCGCCACGGAGGACCACGTCTCCATGGGAGGATGGGCAGCCAGGAAGGCCCTCAGGGTCGTCGAGCATGTAGAACAAGGTAAAGCCAGCACTGGGAGGCGGGTCTTTCTCGGAATGGAATCACTGCCCACAGAATCAGTATTCTTTGGAAACCCATTTGAAATACAGATCCTGGGACCACTCCCAGAAACACTAGGGAGAAGAGGGGAGTGTAGCTAAGAGCTTTCCAGGTGTTTCTGTCCCTCACTGAAGACTAAGAACTAAGGATCTATGCAGAGAGAATCTGGTTCCTTGTATAGCTTTGTTTTAATGAGGTGGGATTTTTGTTTGTTTGTTTTTGATATTTGAAAGTGGAGAGAAGAGGACCATGAACCCTAGCAAGCCTCAATTGATTCAAAAGCCCAAATATTTGCTTCCCATTTTTTGTTTTCCCAAATTATCTGCAAGCAAATCTCCATGTTGTTCATATATACTTTCTCTCTTTAATATGAATAGTTCCAGGCTAGAGAGATGGCTCAGTGATTAAGAGCACATAATACTCTTGTAGAGAACTTTTTTTTTTTTTTTTTTTTTTTTTGAGACAGGGTTTCTCTGTGTAGCTTTGGAGCCTGTCCTGGATCTCACTCTGTAGCCCAGGCTGGCCTGGAACTCACAGAGATCTGCCTGCCTCTGCCTCCCGAGTGCTGGGATTAAACGTGTGCGCCACACTGCCCGGCTCTTGTAGAGAACTTAAGTTTAGTCACCAGAATTCATGTCAGGTAACTGCCTGTAACTCCAACTCTGGAGTCATCTTGCCACCTCTGGCCTCCAGGAGTCCCAACATTTATGTGCATACACACACACACACACACACACACACACACACACACACACACACACGTATATATGCATATATTCCTAAGTATAACCCGCCAGGTGTGTATAACGTGAACTGGATGTTTGGTATTGGACAACCACTTGGCATGCTTCTCGGAGGGGAAGACTTAATTCTCCTGTTCTCAGCGTTCCTCAGTTGCCTGTAGTTCTTTGTGTGGCCTTCCCCCATCCACATTAACATGTCTACTGGTATTGCCCTCATTCAACTCCTGTTATCAGACCTTTCCTCTCAGCCAGGATGCCGTACCACACCCAACAAAATTAAACAGCTGAGCCCTGATATCATCAGCACCAAATACATATTCAAAATCCCCCAGCCGCCGCAGCGCCTCAGCCTGTCGGTTGGGTTTGTTCAAACGGGGATTCCAGGCCCCTGTTTTTAAATTCTGCTGTCAGGATTCCAAGCTGCTTCTCCTCCAGGGTAGTCCTGTGGCCCTGGCTTTCCTCCTGGCTTTTGACTCAGCAACATGCCAGGCTAGTTTTCCGGTCGCTTCTTTGCACTATCAGTTTCATGTTTTCTTTCCCCTGGGCATTTCTGATGTAATGACATTGATTTGAGTTTTTGCCTGGACTGGAATGGCTGGGGCCATACAGTAACTCTCCACCCATCTTTATGGGAGCCAGCCGGAGATGTATTGCCATCCGGAGTGGATATTACGTGCCTACACTCATTTCTCCATATCCTCAGCTGCATGTGCTATCTGTCTATCTAGATGCCCAGCCCCGACCAAACTGTGACGGGTTGGCCCTTATCTATTCCCACTTCTTCTATCTGATCCATCGACACACCAACGCTGTCTTCCAAAAACTTGTCACCTCCTCCTCCTTAATCTCCTACGCAGTTGCCACCCATCAAGAAACAGGGCGAGCATCTGCAAACATAACGCAACCTCAAACGTAATCGAGACCACACCATGCCCCAGCTGGAAATGTGCCAGTTGCTTTCCAGCACTCAAAACTTCCTTATCCACCCCACTTCCTAGAAGCCCGGCACGATCTGGTATTCTGCCCCTTGCTGCCCCTTCTCTTAGGCTCTCTCCATCCCGGAGCCACAGTGATGTCCTGTGGTGCCAGGGAGCACATCACCTGCAGCACCCACTCCAAGGACGTGCCTGGTCCCACTCCATCCATGTCGCTGCTCAGACTTCTCACACGTCTCCCTTGGCTTCAGCCAGAACAGCAGCTGGCATTTTTCCTTCCTTTTCTTTTGTTTTGTTTTGTTCTGATAGCACCCGGTGCCTCTGGGTCTGTTTGTCTTTCCACAATGGCAAGGATCTCGTCCGCCTTGGCCATATCGCTAGATGGGCCTGGTTCCGATTTAGTGTTCAAATGTGTGCATGGCGGCAAATGGTTGCCTGGTTCATCAGTGTTGTGCTCTCTGTTCATAACATGTAAGGGAAATCAGCAACAGGTAGGTAAGAACCAGCTGTATTACAAGCCAGTTGGTGATGGGTTTGTTACTTAAGTTTGTTTTGATTATAAATGTTCAGCAAACATCTTCAAATTCTGGAATCCAGTAGTGCTGGCTCTGAGTAGGAGATCTGGGCCTGCTTGTTACAGTGCCCACTCGCTGTCCTTGCTTACGTCACCAGCATGGGAGTATGGAAAGTGTAGACAGGCACCTGCCACTTGAGCGGAGTACGGAACAGAGTGGGCGAGAGGCACCCATCTCCTGCCCTTACAGAAACCAAGTCTGTTTGGAGACGCAAACCCTGGCCAACCTGACAGCTCTTTGTGGTAATTAACAAAATGCTGAAGGGTAGAGAGTTATAGGAGGAAAAGGTAGAACCTGATGAGATCTGAAGGGATCAAAAATGGCATCTTCAAAGGAGAACCCATGAGTAAGACCTGAATAACATATGGTGCGCTCTCTCTCTCTCTCTCTCTCTCTCTCTC